CCTGGGAGTCCAGCGACACAGCCATTACGCTAACTGCTGGTTCCCATTTAAAGTGATTCTTTAAAAAAAAAAAAAACTACAGGTAGTCAAATTCTGGAAAATGCTGTAGAGCAATGGACTCATTTATGGATTTTTTAAAAAAGAATTACTGATTTTATTATTACTACCTGCTTTTAATTTACTATAGAGCATACACACTCATAAAAAGAGAGAAAACAAGAATGCAACTGCCAGGTCTGGGGCTTGAACCATGATGGATGATATGGGAGTCCAGCACCTTCACCACAATGCTGCCACCTGTCCACACCACCATTTATGGATTTTTATAATCTAGTATGTCCTCAAATTAAAAAACTTAAGGGGGCCAGCAGGTTCCATCGTGGTTGAGGTGCTGGATTCCCACATGGCTGACTGCAGTTTGACTCCCAAACCTGGTTTGCTTTCTCACTTTCTTCCCTCTCTCTGGGGAGCACATGTGTCTTACAGCAAAAATGTTAGGAATAAAAATAAAATTAATTATTTTTAAAAATTCAAAACCCTTAGGAAATAAGAAAGATATCAATATATAGAAGCACTTAAAAAAATGGAGGATGGAGACAAAGAGGGAACAACAAACCTCTTCCAGTTTGTCAATGATCATAGCAAAAGCTTTGAAGATGGCATTAGTAGGTCCAGCCAAAGTGATTATTCTCTCAGGACAATTCCCTTCTGAGATGTTGATACGTGCACCACTCTGGGTAAGAAACAAAGCCAAGAGATTACAAACAACTAGACATAAACACATACAGGATACATAAACCTCTCCTAAATAAGATGGGCAACAACTGCATACACATTGAACATTATCCTGATAGAAGGTTAAAAACAGCATCATTTCAAACACTGTTACTTGTCTGTCCTCAAATAGAGCCTATAGCAGCTGTCTTAAGTCTTGAATGAACTCTGAGACTTCTTAGAACTACATTTCTCAATGACTGCTGTCATTACAAATAACCAGCCAGAAAAATACCAGCTTCTTCTGAGAACTTTTCCCCTCCAATTCCTCTAACAGAATTTTCACGTTTTAATAGTTTATTTTCCAAGATCAACATTCCCAAAGCCCTCTATAACTTACCTCCTCGCGCATCTTCTTAACTGATTCTCCTTTCTGTAAGAGGAAAAGTCAAAAGTATGAGCACTGACTGCTATTTCAACCCAGACTACATAGTAATTAGGGCTGAAGTGAAATTGTCTTACCTTTCCGATGATACTGCCAACTTCCTGCAATGGAGAAAACCAGTGTTAGCAAGTGGAAACTTAGAGGTGTGTTCATTAGTAGGAAAAGGAGTTTTAACTGTCTACCTAACCAACTGCTATCTGTGCCAATTACTATCCCAAAGGAATAGAAAGATTCTAAGATTTACTGGTAGGGGGCAGGTAGGGAAGTATTCTTCTCTTTAATGCCACAGGAATGTGACTAAATGCTATCTTTGTGTTTAATATGTTATTTTCCTAAGTACCAAGTATATCTCCATCACCTTCAAGTTTTCAAAAAATGTTTTGGGTTAAGGTAACCTACCTATCACAAACACATCAACCTCTATGAGGAAAATCTTCTCATCCAGGTATGAGCTGAGTCTGGCTCTATAGAGCCTCTAGTTAAACCTTTCCTGCTCAGTGGAGCCTCCTAGTAAAGTCTGTCAATTTTCCTACTCCACTCACATCTACACTGTTAGGGAAGTGTGCTGAAGCCAGACACCCTACAGTGCTAATCTGATGAGCTCCTAGATGCATGTCTGCTCTTCCTGGCCCTCCCCTAGCAGTTACTATGACCCAATTTCCCAAGCAGATGCATACCTTGCCATGCATAAGTAGCCGGATGGTGAGAGTGACATTTAATCCACCTTCAATCACACCGGTGTCCATGTCTAGCAGTGTTCTGGGGAGCTGGACTTTGAGTGGTCAAGTCTTTGGTCACTGGTGGGGGTGAAAGCCAAAAACTAAAATGTAAACATGACCAAAATCAGAGAGGGGAAAAAAAAAAAAAAAACAAAAGCGGGTATCCCACCTTATTTTCACCATTATCAATGTTATCTAGCTGAATCTTTTCTTTACATGGCATCCTATCAGACTTGATAACATTACAGCCCAGATTATGAGTATGGAAGATGACTTTCCAGGTTGCTCTCATTAATGACAGGGTTTCTGCTGATGCGTAAGACAAGGAAGGTTTCTTCAACTGGCAATGTTTCTAAGGGAACTGCTGAACATGCACCCTCAGTTGCCCTTCAGTAGAACAAGCTTTTTTCAAAAGCATTCAGAAAACCCTGGAAATCATGAGGGCAAACCTCAAACTAACCAACCACAGTGTGAGGGCAACTGACCTTTTGCTTTCCTGTTGGGTAGTTTAAATTAAAATCTAGACACATGTATACATTTTCTCAGTGATAGCCATTTCTTGATAAATTGAGATGTATCTCTCATTACAAATTTCAAATGTTGATGACTCCAAAAGACAAAAAAAGGAAAAAAAAAAAGATGTAGGTCAACAAAATCACTGAGAAAGGCATTATCTGGAATGCTTTCCATGAGGCTAAGGTTCTGTATTGATTCCTTAGGAAATGATTCAATGTATTAATTAAGTTGAATCCTTTTCTTCTCTCCCTTTTTCAAATCCAACTGGTAAGTGGTTGAGACCTGAGAAAACTTTGTGTCTGTATACTAATGTTTATTCACCATTCAGCTTTTATTCAGATCTAT